AGATGACTGTTGTGTTTGCGATAGGATAAAACTCTAAACACATGCGGGCATTTCTTCTTTCTTTCTTCTTACTGAACTAGTCTGCAGTAATGAAAACAGGAGACGCATGAGAAACAAAGATGGCTAAAAAGTAACTCAGGGTTATACAAAGAATGTGCAACACAAAATAAACACATTCCTGATGTGAGTCCCATCTCATACACTACAAGTACTATTGTATAAATACAGCTCTACAACATACAGATAGATTGACATAGAATGTCACTTACCAGATTTTGAACAATTTGATCAGCAGAATTTTTCTCTTTTAAGGGCTTATTATGGGTCTCTGTCACCATCGTATGGTTGGACAAAGCAACCGTCTTTGCTCTGCTACAAAACAAATACATTCTCACCTAAAAAAGCCCCAAAAGTACATTATGTTGTCCAACAGCTGCAATAATTGTCAAACTGTTGTCCACCACTTACCACACATGTAGTCGAAGTAATACACAAGAGTAAAGAGGCTGTAGGAGTTTTGATATTGCAGAATATCCCATGGCTATCAGCCAATCAGATTCAAGAACCAGACAGAAATATAAATACACACACACACACACACACACACACACACACACACACACACACACACACACACACACACACACACACACATATATATATACACAAATATAAGGGCTGCAAAATATATCTTTTCAGCATCAATATCGCAATCTGCACAACCAGAATAGTCATATCGCAAAGATGTGCAAAGGAGTTACAGAATTGTAATTGATCACTATATTTATATTGAATTTTTAAAACTTATGCAAAAACAATGACAAAAAAATTCTTATTTAGAATTTTGATCTTTGTTTCTAGTAAAAAAAATATCTACATTTTGCAAAAACAACATTATTTAACTTCCCCCAATGGCAGATAATTTAGCTTGTGTTGGGGAAAATAGCAATGCATTTTGCAACAGCATGCATGGCATCACTCAATAGAATGTTCCATTGCCCAACAACAGCCCCGCATTTCCGCCGTTTTGGAGTGAAAGAGATCGGCTGTCCATTGGATCTTACTGCTGTTGCAATGCTTTTGTAATGAATGTCAATAACCGAATCATTCTCCAAAGGCATATGAGGAATAACATCTGAGATGAAGTAGATACTTCAAAGCAAATGAAATATTTCCATTAAGTGAATGAGCAATATTTTTTTCCTCTGAGTGCACCGATGCAATCTGAACTGTATATAAACACTATCAAGCATGTCCACAAACACAAACAGGAGGAATAGGGTATTAGTCAGATCCTATATTGTAGAAAGTGACTGTTTTCCCCTGCAGACGCCTCTTCCCCTTCCCTCAAGTGTTAATAAAATGACGTGAGGACCCGTCTGCTGTGCAGGCAGCGTGAATTCACAGTCGGAGAGAACCGATGAACCACCACGGGTGTTTTTCCCTCACTGTGTTCATGTACAGATGTCTAAGTGTGTTCAAATGCGAATTTGCTTTGCGTCTGTGAATCGCAAATGCAGCTGTTCATCTCTTTCTCCTGTGTAAACATGTTGTTTGTGTTAATATTTGTCTCGGAATGATTCGGGAGGCGAGCGCACGCACATGAGGGAATGGCAACCACTGTGGCAATAGTTCAGCTTGTTGATATATGGTTATAGCCATTCACAGAGAGCCAATTAGGTCTCCTCTGTTTGGAATCCCATAATGCCCTTCTCTCCAAAGATGCTTCATCCAGCGCAGATAAAGCTGGAAACAGAATTTTCAATAAGAGCCTTGTTTACTCACTCAAGCCCAGAAAATGACCAATGTTCTTGTGTTTTGTTCATCTCACGCAGACGACAAGACTATTTTTTATGGATCCATTGATCATCATCTTCTCAGTTCTCAAAGGCTCATTCTTACAAGCACATCTTGTAGGAACAAGCGTTTTTTTTTTTTAATGGCTGTTCACATTAAATTTCACCCACAGATGTGTTCAAAAGTGAATTTGCTTTTGGATCTGTGAATCGTTAATGCAGGAGTTTATCTCTTTCTTTTGTGTAAACATGCTGTTTTTGTTAATGTTTGTGTCTGTAACTGTGAGTTAGGATGCGAGCATTTGTTCATGTGGGAAAGGGAACCGCAGTGGCAATAGTTCAGCTTGGCTGCAGGGTTTGTGATATATGGTTATGACCATTCATTGAGAGCCAATTAGGCCTCTTCTGTGTGGAATCCCATAATGCACTTCTCTCCAGTGCTGCCTTATCCAATCGAGATTAATCTGGAAACTGAATTTCCAAATAAAAGCCTTGTTTACTCACTCAAGCAACTGAAATGACCAATGTTCTTTTCTTCTGTTTGTTTTATGCAGACTTCAAACCATTTTCTATGGATTCATTGATTGCCATCTACTCAGTCCACAAGGCTCATTTCTACTAACACATCGTTTTTTTTTATCTTTGTTTTTCTTCATCGTGTTTGCGTAAGATACACATAAAGATGCCCGAGGGGCAGTTTTCATAATGTTTTCAGACAAAAACTGGAACACTGTTGTTGTGACTGGAAATGACTGGAAACAGGTTTCAAAGTGAAAGTTGTGAAAACGTTGCAGTTGTCATGTCCATGTAAACACCTGAAAATCTTACAAGGGCAAACTCTTTTTCTAATGACATAAACAGATGAATTGTTCATCACAAAACTAACAAAAAAATAAAAAATAAAAATGAATAAATACCAAGAACATTGGTGGAGTATAAAGTTGTGTTGTTGTTGCTTACATGTTTGCTAATGCTTCATCAGCAAGCTGTCAATTTACGTCACATTACAACACAGCACAGACACATCATATACACAGCAAATTGTACATACTGTATACATCAGCCCTGAGCTGCCAACAGCACATCTTCACTTCCATACATTTACTAACAAGATGACAGCACCAAATCCAGTATGTTTTGACGTTTTCTCATGTGTAAACATGGATCATTTTGAAAACGATGTTTAGTAAATGTGAAACTTCATTAAAATACATCTTTGTCATGTAAACGTAACATAAGTGTGTTCAAAAGTGCATTTGCTTTTGGATCTGTGAATCATTGCAAGTGTGTACATATTGGATGTGGGAAAGGCAACCATGTTGACAATAATTCACTTTGGCTACAGGGTTTGTGATATATGGTTAAGGCCTTTCCTTGAGACCCAATTAGGCCTCCTCTGTGTGGAATCCCATAATGCACTTCTTCCCAGTGCTGCCTTATCAAATCGAGATTAATCTGGAAATTTAATTTCCAAATAAAAACCTTGTTTACTCACACAAGCAGCAGAAAATGACCAATGTTCTTGTTTTCTGTTTGTTTCATACAGACTTCAAACCATTCTTCAAACCATTTTCTATGTATTCATTGATTGCCATCTTCTCAGTCCACAAGGCTCATTTCTCCAAACACATCTTTTTACATCAATTTTTTTATTTTCATTGTGTTTGCATTAGATTGCACAGAAAAATGCTTGAGGGGCAGTTTTCATAATGTTTTCAGCCAAAAACTGGAAACTTTTTTGCATTTTGCCTGTTTGTTTACACAACAACACCATTTTTACAGTCACAACTGTTCTTGTGACTGGAAACAGGTTTCAAAGTGAAAGTTTTGAAAATGCTGCAATTGTCATGTCCATGTAAACTCCCAAAAATGGGCAAATGTTTTCCAATAATATGGACAGATGAATAGGGTATTTGCCGAAGCATACTAATAGGACTTTTAATTTGCCAGCAGCCTGGGATAATCATTTCCGGTGAATTGTATGCCAATGCAAAATGGGCGCATTTAAGGTCTGTTTTCTATTTAAAATCAACAATCTCCACTGGCTGAGTGATATTCGATATAAAGTGGGTCTCAGATTGTAGAAGAAGGACTGCATTAAATTACATTTCCCCCCGCCATGTCTTTATAATATGAGCATTTACTTTACCCCAGTATATTCATTAGAGCTTCTGCGCTAGCCTGTTGATTTTGACAGGCGGGTGCGAGCAAACAGCTTTTTGTCTCGTTTTACGCTTGAGCAACTAAATGAACGCCAAAGTCTGTTTAACTGATTATATTTGAATTACATTACAACATTGAGGCTGTAAAAGGAACCTCATTAAATGAAAAAAAATTACAATAACAGGTCACCAGAAGTTTATCAGTATGGGAAACACACTAGCTCGGCATATACCCCATTGTTTACCACAAACAGAGCAATGTGAACTAAGAAAATCACATGGGTAGTTTTGATTTTATGTGTACTTTAAGGGAAGTGTTGATTAAAGAGGAAAAATACAAGAACATTGATGGAGTACATGGGAGTGTTGTTGTTGCTCACATGCTTGCTATTGCTTCATCAGCAAAATGTCGATTTACACTACATTACAACCAACAGCGCAGACTCATCATACACACAGCAAATTCTAGTAACACTTCAGTTTAGGTCACAATTCACGATATTAACTACTGGCTTATTAACTGCCTATTATTAAGACACTAACTGTTGAATAGTAGTTATAATATATGATCTTATTATTCATCCCTAATCCCGCCTAATACCTAAACCCAACCACTACCTATTAATAAACAGCTATTAAGTAGTTTATTAAGCTAGTATTGTTAGTTAATTGTTTGTTAATACCATGAATTATGACCTAAAGTGTTACGCAAAATCTATAGGCTATATACATGGATCATTTTGAAAATACTGTAGATGTAAAACTTCATTAAAATGCCAAGGAAAAACTGTTTATTTTCTGCCTACATCTTTGTCGTGTACACGTAACCTGCAGTAAGTGTGTTTAAACATGCAATTGCTTTTGGATCTATGAATCATTAATGCTGCTGTTTACCTCTTTCTCCTGTGCAAACATGTGGTTTGTGTTAATATTTATCTATGAATGAGTTGAGATGTAAGTGCAACCATGTTGACAATAGTTCAGCTTGTCTGCGGGGTTTGTGATATATGGTTATGGTCGTTCCTTGAGAGCCAATTAGAATTTTTCTGTGTGGAATCCCATAATGCACTTCTCTCCAGAGCTGCCTCATCCAATCAAACTGGAAACTGAATTTTCAATAAGAGCCTTATTTACTCACACAAGCAGCAGAAAATGACTAATGTTCTTGTCTTCTGTTTGTTTCATACAGACTTCAAACCATTTTCTATGGATCCATTGATCGTCATCTTCTCAGTCCACAAGGCTCATTGCTGCAAGCACATCTGAGTCCGGCAAGCAGGTAAGTTTAATTTTTATTGTCGAATCAGAGACTTTTTGAGTTCAGACCACTTAATCGCACTGCAGCTTTAATCTGCCTTTGTGATTTACAAAAGAGAGGGTGAGAAGAGAGCAGAGGATCTGCTGTTATGCAGAATCAAGCACAGGCTTTTATCCTTTCAAACGCAGGCAACAATTGCAAGACAGTCTGACCTCTTTTCTGATGCTGATTAGCGTGGTATTTGAGCTGACATTAAACATGGTGCTGTAATTATGCTAAAAGGTAACCAAGAGGTAAATGCACGGAAAAGAGACTTGTGGTTCTCTGATATACTTTGGTCAAGTGAAGCAGTAGAGTGTACAGATATGCAGTGGTTTTCGAGATGAGGAATTAGCGGTATAGAGTAAGAAATCTCTATCTGAAGTAGCCATTAAGTTTTCCATAAAAGCAGTTTTGTGAGATCTTGTCTCGCCGCGTTATTTCAAAACTTTGCATCAAGTTCAACGGTGCAGTAAATGGCTCAATACCCGGAGCAATTCATTAGCAGTAAATGTGCAGTTATAGCCCGCATTTTAAAGGAAGATGCTGAAATAATCTAGTTTATGCTGTGCACTTAAAGAAGAAATATGAACTTTAACAGAATGACTGTAACTTGTGCTGTTTTCTTTTTAAAAAAAGCCCTGTAGCAATGCTAAGAAATGAAAATCGTAGAATTATAGAAATAAAAAGTGCTTAGGAAGCTTAGTACTTTAGTGGTACACTTCCTTCGTGTGTGCATGTATGATATATAAATAAATAAATAAATACAGGAAAATAAACCATGCAGTTCACATAATAATAACATTAATATGATTAGTTAGGATAATTAGCATAGCTGGTTTTGGATTGGATGAAAATTGTGTTATATTATATCATATTAGGCAACAGCGTTTGGAATGCAGCTTCACTGCACTGTTTTAAGAAACTTTTTAAGACTCACATTTTAAGCATTGTGCATTTAAGCATTATATTAAATATTAATATTAGTGCTGATCAAAAATGTATTGTGTTTAATTGCATCCAAAATAAAAGTTTTGATGTTTTTGATATGTGTATATTAATTATTATTATGTATTATTAATTATGTTAATGTGATACACACATACATAGAAACAAAACTATAAAAAAAATTTTGCATACATATTTAAATTGATATGTAATTTGTACATATGTTTTTTATATTTAAATATTAATGAACATTTTCACACCACACACATAAATTACATTTGGGATTTTGGATGATTAATCGCAATTAATTTTTGCCCAGCACCAAGTTATATTAAATATTAATAAGTAATATTAAAATATTTAGTTAAATAACTATGATAAAATAAACGAAAAGAGGAGTCAGGACCAAATGGGACAGTCAATAGAGCTTAACCGAGCTCCATGTCAAGGCGATCGCTCTGATTTAGAATACCAGTCTCCTAAGAGCACACCAAACAAGGGCTGTTTCACAATATGCATTCTTCAGCGTTCTTGCGTCCTCGTGTTCTCATGTGATCATTAACTGGCAAAGTTAGGTTCCAAAACTCAAGACCTCAGGAACGGAGGATGCGTGAAAGTTCCCAGATGTGTTCTTAACTTCAATGACTCATCGATGCAGACTTGAGCGCAGAACTCATTCTAGAAGTCCTAGAAGTCATTGCGACTAAATAAAGGAGGTGGGAGGCGCAGCATTTTATATAGATTTGTTATTAAAGTTCAGAGATATAACTTACTTATCTCAGGAGTTACCCTAAATGAGACTCTGAAAGTAAACATTGACATCAAAATCCTTATAGAGGCATACACACATTAAGGGTATTTATTTGCTGAAATTCGTATTAAAATCTGTTTTATTTGCATTGTGCAGAGTATATTTGTTAGGTTTTTGTGCACGTTATATATATAGTAAAGGGGGGAAAACAATAAGTTGATGTATGCATGCTGTAATGTTAAAATGTAAATGTTTGAATTAAGCTCATGTGACCATCGGGAAAAACGCAGCATCTCATTTCCCACAGGATGCGTTTTTCCGAGGTGACCTGGCAAGACCGGTCTCCACAAGAACCTAACTCCGTTCTCTGCATTCTTGGAATTGAGAAACAGCCATGCACTTACCACCGATAGGCTGGGACACCACAAACACACAGTCGTTAGGCTGGAACACCACACACACATTCACAGCCCATAGGCTAGGATGTCACAATATATTAATTGTTAATTAAAATATTTGTTAAATAAAACTGATGATTTCTCAGCAGCAATAATTTGTATAACTTTCATGCATTTATTATTATACAAAGCATGATAGTTGACGCTGCAATAACACTACAAAACTACAATGTAACACTTACCAAATCTAAAAGTAAAACCTGAATGTTAGATACTGTAAGAGCATATGCATAATGCATGTTCTGTAAGTGCTCTAAACTTGAGCATCAAAAACTTTTTTTAGTTTAAATAGACCTCACGCTTCAGAACATTATCAGTCCATTTTCTTGAGCTGCATAATTCCACTTTGCTTTTGGTGAACAAAGACAGATTTCAAAACATGCATACATGCATACAGCAGGCTGCAAACGAGAGCGAGCTGTGTTGGGCTAATGAATGATGGGCACTTGAAACTGTGAAGAACGGTGGTACAGATGTACAGCTGGCAGAGGCAAACACTGATGTGAGTGAACATTAAAGATTCATTCAAACAGCTGTTCCTTATCCAGGACAGCACGATCCTCCACCATGTGCTCTGATTCTGAAGCTGAATAGTACGATGAAAACTTGACTAAAGCTTAGGCTTTTACATAAACATTGAACTCGCTGTCTTCAGTGATAGAAGAAAGTATCTCATGCTGAAAAGGCCAAATCCATTTGTCGTGATCATACATTAGTACTATTTGTTGTTCACTTTGGGGATCTTGAAATATAAAACATACTTGTCTCCATTAGTATGTCTCTACTCTGTACTGTTTGGCCTTGTTCTGTTTTATACAGTAGTTTAATTATTTTGTCAGATATTCGTATTGGAGTCTAATTCCAATGGCTCTTTAATTATCGTTGTGTAATGCTAACAATTCCAAGGGAGTCTCAAGTCTGTTGCACTGTTGTAAGTGCTCAAGAGCGTTATTAGTCTAGTTTTAATATAACCAGTGAGTATCGTTTGCCTTAGGTAAGTGGTCTTGGCCTCATTTAGGTAAGTGAAGGACATTTAACATGTTTCATGGTTACTACAGAATCTCAGATAGTTGTCAGTGGGAGAAAAGCGGAAGTACTGAGGCAGCATTGAAAACTTGACAATCTAGCAATCAATGTTATTTATATAGTAGTTTTAATGTGGTTAATACATTTTTATTGAATAATGACTCCGTACTTTTGTTAATTGAACATCATTTTATACCTCTTTCACTTTGGCTAAATGGGCAAAACAGTTGAGAAATTCCTCAAAACATCACTAAAAATGGTTCAACTGGTTTGGACAGGCTACATAATTTGCTATCTCTAGAAAAGTAAATAGGGCTACATTTTTGTTGAGTAAATGACAAAATATCCATTTAAACATGCTTATTTGACACAGGGGACAGTTCCAGAAATCAAGCTTAGAGTAAAGCCAGGCTTATTTGGTAAGTCAGGTTTATTAATGGCAGATTTGGTTTTATGAATCAAATTTATGATAGTTCAAACTCAGTTACTCTGGCAACTTATACTGGGAAACTAGCCTAGTTCAGGACAGTCTTAACTTCAAAATCGAAATAATGTTATCATTCGCCTGCTGTAACTTGATGCCATGTTAATTCACTTAACTTCTTAATAATGATTAAAACTTTATAGTCACTTAATAGTTCACTTATAGTAACTATATATACACCAAACATGTTTATGAATAGAACGATAATAAATGTAAATTCATATAAGTTATTTCAAATACAAACTACAGCTTTTAAACTATTTTTTCATGTTTCTGTTGATTTTTATTACTGTTTATAAAAATTGTACATGTTAATTTGGGTGTACTAGTTTTTGCACTTTATTTTTTGTTAAATTAGTTCAAAATTTCACTCTTATGTATATATATATATATATATATATATATATATATATATATATATATATATAATATCAAGAAAGCTCTGACTGAAATAAATAAGTAGGCTAAATTTCTTAAAGAATGACTTTAAAGCATCAAACCCTGAGTGGAATAATCGAAAGATGGATCTGGGCCAAGCAGTAGCCTCGCTTTAATATAAAGATATTTTCACATGTCATTATTTTAAACATAATGTGCTTACATAGCACATTTTGATTGTTACAGTAAGCCTACAATGCATAAAACTTTTCCTTGCAACCAACAATTGCCAGTAAGCGCGGATTCTCTCTTTCTACAATTTCAATTTATTGTTGCAAAAATTTTATTTAACATTAATAGGCGTACGTAAATTATGGCCTATATTTTAAAATCTGCAATTTTCTGTCAGCTTTCACTCTTGCTTTGTTGCAAGCCGTGCTGTTGTTTTTTAAATTACTATATTGGAATAAAAAAAATAAACTCGGCTCACTCGTCGTGAACATAGCTGTCATTCATTTCAGAGCTATTTCTTTCATTGTAGTTGCCATGGTAGCATACAATATAATCGATGCGTTCAGCCTTCAGGGTTTTATGACAGTAACGTGCACGAGCAGTTATGTAGATTATTTAAACTGAACTCAGAATAGTTAGATCAAATGATGTTTAACTTGCTGTTATGAAACCTATTAAAGGGTGGACTTTTAGTTCGGCTCACTAAAGTCAGGTTTTCGAAAGTTTTAGTTAAAGTAAAAATTTTCTTTATTGTGGTGTATTGAATATCATTTGTAACCCTACAGTTTGGCAACAAATGCCATGTTTCAACTGTGGTTTGTGCAAAATAATAATTACTGATTACTTTTATTGCAGTAAACCCTGGGCTCTTTTTATAAATGAAGGTTCTAGTTGAAAACGTTCTGAAGATATTGACACAAATACT